TGCAGTGTCTTTACCATTTTCATGGGTTTCGTCATCTTTCACCATATCCATCAGATTTCATCATGTTTCATTCTTTGCATTATTTTGCATTATTTCAATGGGTGCGCGTTGCCTTCTTCCATGATGTTCATCAGTTTTCACTGTTTGCACAGTCTTTTTACGTAGATGTTGATCATGTTCATTATGTCACACTATTTTCATTATTGTCATGTTTTCACTGTTTTCGTCATATTGTCATAAGATGCGATGATTCTTTCATCACGTGTAATCAGTTTCCATCATGTGTTCGCATGGTTTTCGTAATGCTTCTTCCTATGTCATCATGTTTCATTGCTTTCGTGAATTTTCATTCATGACCATTTCCATCATTTCCACCAAAACATGAACTGTCTACAAATTAATTCTCATCAACAATAAACACATTCCTCTGGTCCTGGGGGGCACCCACAACCCTCTGCTCTTTGTAAACATGAACCCTTATCATTCCTAATAGTTCATCTCCATCAACAACTGCGAAATGCCTCCAATGCATTGCGAATGGGTGCGCTGCACACGCTCTGATTGAGCATGAAACCGTATCATGTCCGACAGCGCAACCTCATCAACAACTTCCTCAATGGTTTGCAAATGGGAGGGGCTGCCCCCGCCCCCCCCGCCCCCGACCCCCATGCTCGTTTGAAGTATTAAGGAGTATCAAGTCGCATAGTGAACCCTCATCAATTGCCACATTCCTAAATGGCCTGTCATGTTTAATCGTGCATTGTCATCAACAGTTCCGAAATTCTTCCAATGCTTCGCAAATGGGGAGGTTGCAATCCGTCAACCCCCCTTCTCTGTTTAAATGAAGCTGCGTCATATCCGATAGTGATAGTGAATCCTCATCAACAACTGCGACATTCCTCAATGGTTTGCAAATGCAGGGAGCTGCGCCCCGCCAACCTCCCCAGCGTTTTCCCCCCCAGCGTTTTCAAACATCAACCGTACCATGTCGACGAGAGAATGTTCGTCAACAATTGCCACATTCCTCAATGGTTTGCGAAGGGGGCTGAGCCCCCCCCAACGCCGCTGCTGTTTGCAACCATGAGCCCAAATCATTGGTTCGCAAATAGCGGGTCCACGCAAGAGCGGCCGGAGGCGCCGCAAACATTGAGAGGGTTGTAGATTCCGCGCCAAAATCGAAGGATGCTCCGTGCAAGTGCGTCCGTAGGCGCTGCAAACACTGAGAGGGTTGCGGATTCCGAGCAAAATTCGCAGGCTCCACGCAGGAGCATCAGGACACGCCGCGCCGCGAACAGGCATAGGTCCTGGGGAAAATCAAGCTTTCGCGTGGAGCTTCCTCACATTTCTTGATTTTGATGTTTGTTGATCCGTATTTTGATGTTTTGATCCCCGATTTCGATTTCTTGTTGATCCTTATTTGAAGTTTTTGATCCCCCACCCATGGTGAGCGGTGAAAGTCTAGCCGGTCGATAGAAGCAGCTATTGGAGCATGCAGATCTCAAGCCGTGCTACTACGGAATGATTATCCCGCCAGTCACCGATGACGGCCATTACGGTACTAAAACATCAGAACTTGGATAACGATAGGCCACAAATTTGTAAGCCCCATAGAAGAAACAGAGACCGGGCTTCACTTGCACACCACAGGCCATGTAAGCAGGGCAGCTCGGCACCACAGGAGCTTCGAAGCAGCATCCAGGAAACCCGCGACGTGTCACAGACCCAGGTGCTATCCCGCCTCAGAAGGCTCATGGCTTGTTGGTTGGCAACCTCCCATCTCATGTGGCATAACAGCCAATCATTATTGACATTGTGCTGAGGGCCGCGCAGCTGTACTCCGAGCTGACACAGCATCGATCTGAGCAGACATTGTTGCGCGGTCCAGTTTGCTATGCATCTACTGATTAGCTAGTTAGGCACGCAGACGGCTTCAAAGCCGTGACCACAAGGCTGCCGCTGCTCTTGGCCTGACCCGGCGATTTGGCAAGCTTTGATGCAAGGCATGCCGAGGCAGAAGCAGCAGGCAACGACTAGTCTTTCTCCTGTGCCAACTCTGCAAATGTGCACCCAACTAGGGTCTGGCATGGTCTGGCCTTGTGGCAAGCTGATGTGCTCAAGCCAGCCCTGGTGGAGCCTTCACCATTTATTTTTGTGACAATTGTGAGCATCCACGCTGGGGTCGACGTCCTTCCATGCACAAGGGCAGCAACCACTTGAATCTACATGGACATCACAGAACCTCATTGAGAGGTGGCGCGGTAACCCACCACCCCCTCCCATCACAGTTCAGGAAACTTTGTTGACAAAAATCTGTGTTTTCCCTGCTGTGGCCTTGGTACTCCAGCCAGCTACAGGTTGGGATCTTGGGCTTGCAGTTTGAGCACGACAATTACATGATGCAAGTTGTGTTTGTTGTTGGTGAGCAGTGCAGTCCTTCAGAGCGCTGAGGCGCTGCATTTGTGCATGTGTCCCGGACGCAGTGCCAGCACGTGGTGCTTGAATATGTGAGCAAAGGGTGTGGCATCGCAGCCCGCAACATCCGAGGGCCAGCTGGGCATGGGTGCAGTCTGTGGCACGTGCGAGAAGGCCACCAGTGGTTAGGAGATGCAAACTTGCTGCTAAGGGATGTAAGATGTAAGCAGCAGCAGCGAAGCCGTCAGAGGCGGAATCGGCTTCCAAGCAGAGTGTCGACGCAACCAATGCCCAGCCAGTCCTGAATGTGCGAATCTAAGCTGGCCAACAGTTTACTGGCCGGCGCAGTGGTTAAATGATTCGGCGCTTTCAACCGTGAGGAGGCTGCCGTCCTGAAGTTCCTGGCCCGCGTGAAGCTCTTCCAGCGGCTGCCAAAGGATCCGTCACACTCACTTTGTGAAAGTGTCGATGCCCGGGTTGCCCAAGTGGCGAGGAAGTCCACACTACCTTGGCATCAGCTTGTCACAACCTTACTTGCTTAGGGGTAGCAGTGGGTTCTTTTATGTCTTCCGCCACCACCTGGGTTCCTATGCGGAGGTGTACCAGCGGAGTACAAGCCCAAAGCTCGCATCATTTGCCAGGGAGATGATGGCATGGCACCAAGGCTGTAGCAGACGGAGAGTTGGATTGTACAGCTACAACCTTCTCCGGCTGAGCTTAGGTGATGAGTTTTTCATCATACAAGCTGGCGAGGCCGACGTAGAGGTCAACGGCAAGAAGGCGGTTTTCCTTTGGAGAAATCTTTGCAAATCAAGATGTTTTGCTCCAGCTCTTCGTTTCATGGCAAAGGTGGCAACGCTCAAAGCGAATGCAACTTGGCTCGCTGGGGAGTTGAGAGCAGTCTTGGGTGCGCGGCACAAGCCTCATGTGGGGTCAGCGCCAAGGATTACTTCGGTGAGAATGCCCTCCTGCGTAATGAGCCTCGGACAGCTACCATCACCGCCAAAACAGCGCCACCCTCAGAATGTACAGAACGATTCATGATACTTTGCATTTCAGAATTTCAAGATGTGGGCCGCAAACAGTGGGCCATCATCGACGTCTGCAGGTCTTAGGGTACTTCCAATCTGAGCAAGTAGCTGTGCTCATGGCCGCTCCCGCCAGGTGTCAGAACTGTGAAATTCACAGTGTCAAGCTCCCGTGCTCTAATTTTACTGAAATGCACCCTGTTTCATGGGTCCTTTGGTCTCGCCCCGTCCTCGATTCCTTGACTCTTTGGCTCCTAGGTCCTTGGGCCTCGCCCCATTAATCACATTGTTTGCAAGTGGAAGCCCCCAACCCCAGCTATTGTTGAGCCATGAAAGCTTACTCCTCAAAGGGTATCAACCCAGCGCCACGTTTGCAAGAGTGTCCTCCAATAGTTTCGTCTGAGCAGCATGTCACCCGATCAGTACGTTTACAGAGGGGGGTGCGCCCTCCCCGCACCCCCCCTATTTTGAAGCCGTGCAAGCTTACCTCAAAGAGTATTGACCCATCACCATGCTTGCAAACGGGTAGGGCCTCATTGGTGTGTCTTCAAATTAACCCTCCTAAATACTCCCTTGACACTTACAGGTTCTGTACTGCTATAAGATCAAGGTTTCTGCAACCGCTTAGAAGATGCTAAATCCTCCATTGGCTTGTAGTTGCGTAGCCTCTTCCATGGCTTTTTCTTTTGATGTCCTAGTGCTGCAACGATTTCAAAACCCGGGAAATGCAAAGCCCCTAGAAGGGACGAATAGAGCGGGCCCATCCAAGAGCGCAGCGGCAGGAAACTACATCCCTGCCGCATTTCCGCAATGTGGACTGATTCAAGTTTCAGAGAGTGCGCGGGACCAAAGCTAGCAGAACAATTTCGACCATGCGGCGTTCTGGGCGAAAGCGCGGCTTGTGACATCAGACCCCGAAAACAATCATTCCAGTGCAACCAGCAAACGAATGTCCATGCCCGCGTTTACCGGACAGTAGACAAGTGCGCGATCTCAACTCAAAACCAGTGCACGCCTGGACGGCAACTAAAAAAGCTAAGAAAAACAGCTTCCGGCTCAGACACAGCCTACCGTGATTCCGAAAGTCATCATGAAAGGGGAACCCTGGCTTGTACGAGTTTGCAAACATGGGAATCTCCACGCAAAGATAAGGACTTGAAGGCCTTGAAGATAGGGCGGGATCGCTTCGACCTTCTTGGCCTCAGGCAACTGGTGGGCAAAAGTTGCAATTGAACCTGGCCTGGTCGTCAGGGAGAAGCTGGAATTTCCACAGCGAAAAGCTGTGGGAGGTGGCGGGAAGCAGGCATGGAGCCTAGTGACGACAAATGCTGCGTTTAGTTTTGCATGTTAGAATACATGGGTCGCAATGCAGCACGTGCACTGCAAAGCTGTGGCTCAAGAGTCCATGCATATGCCCGGAAGTCTGTCAAATCCGTCGAAATGTCACAAGAAACCTGACCACGCCTGAGCTCCTCCGGGAAGGCTTCTTAGTTGCAGCTATTTGGAGTTCACGCTGTCTCTTTCATTGGTGGCATGATGACACATCGTCAGGTCTCGAAAATGGGGCCGCTTTCTTGCACTTCATGGGTGTTGCCTGTGAGTCATGCAACTTGCAGCTTCCCAGGCTCCCCAAGGCTTTTCGCTTCGCCGTGGCGTGGGCGCTGATTGCAAACGCTGCACACGAGAAAGGCTATGTCCGCATCGAAGACCATGCTGTGGCACCTTGGTCAAAATCGCCAAGCCGCCACAGAGTAAGCAGCTAGCTGCCCAAACGGCCTCAGGCAGGCTCCCTAATGGACACCCTCGACCAGTGTCTCGTCAAAATTTAAGGGACGCTGCTGCACTTGTTGGCCAGGCGAGCATGCAAAGGCACTTTCCAAGGACAAGTCAGAGGGCTGCCATCAAGCGTCCAGCCCGCGGCATTCGGTCGAAAACAGCTGTAAAGTTTGGAAATCGCGGTGCCTTGGATGCGTTTGGGGCCCCTTTGATGCTAAACCCAAAGACTGAACGAAAGTAGATCCTTCTTGTTTTCTCTAGGGCTTGGGGAAAGCACTCCCCACGCGTGTGGCTTCTGATCAATGAGTCCCAAAGCAAAGCGTCACCTCAGCTTACCAGGCATGAAAGACAAGCCAGAGGATGAGCCAGATTCTGGAGCCTTTCCTACAAAGCTGTCCAAAAGTTACCGTCAAGATGTCAGCAAACGGAAAACTGTTCCCAAGGAGCAGATGAGAACCTTCCGCCGTTCGGTTCTTATTATGCAGCATGGAACCCGGCGATCTACAGCCACCTGGCCAATAGAAAAAGCAAGCATGTTACCGCAATGCAATCACGATCTGGTTTTAGACGAGGTGCCCTCAAGTACTCTATTGCCCGGCACTCATGAGAGCCTTTTACGCATGCACGAAGAGCAAGCTATCACTGCGCCAGGTTCGTATCAGCACGGTGGACAGAAGCATAGACATGGACAAGCCATATGAGGACGCAGAAGCGCCGCGGTGCTTTTCGCAAATTTGGGATTGGAGCAGCACACACAGTTTGTGCACTGTATACAGGACGGCGGGCTTCAGGAGTCCGTGGGTAGCGGATTTCTGGCAGCTCTGGCTGACAAGAAGCTTTCCATCTTTAGGCAGTTTTCATGTTAGGTGGGCTCCGGATTTTGCAGCAGGTAGATGAGAACACCACAATGCAGGGCATCGACGATTACACGTGTCTTCCTTGCACTGGCATCACAGCAACTTCATGCTGATTCGCATGACATGCAAAATGTTTGAAGCAAAAGCCCAGGATCGTCACAAACGCACATGTTGTTCGAGGATCCGGTATCGTACTGCACTGAAATCATTAGAACCCTGTGATGGGCATTGAGCTCGTATGGCTGGCGGCCAAATGCCCCAGGTGCGAGTTCAGTTTCCATCGCTTGGCCGCCATCTGTTTGCAAGGGCCTTAATCTGGCATTCCGCCACGACGCCAAGGGTGCCTGCATGTGTCGCGAGGATGCCACTGTGCCAATGGTGTGCTTTCAATTCGACTTGGCGCCACTCAGTCAAATCTGAATTGCAGCAATCCCCAACGAGAAGCCAGCTGCCATGAAACAAGGATCGTGAAGTTGAAGGATCCTACGGAATTGAGAGAAAAGCTGAAGCTGGCAAACGTGACGCTTTCATTGCCCAATGGCTAAAGGCAGTGCAAGCATCGTTTGGCACACATTGGTCCGGAGAAGCCCCTTGCTCCAGCAAATGCATTATTCTTCTAAGGTTGAAACTGCAGGCGCGCAATGTGAAGATGGGTATGAGAGTGGCTGCCCTGGGCTTCCCTTTAGGCCTGGCGTGCTTCGGATGGATCAGCGAGCTCCGTCTACTCAGACATGAATGTGTGCCAGGCAGTCAGTGGCTCAAGCTCAGCGAGGGCGTTGTGTCTGGTGCCGAGGTGCTTCCATTTTGCACTTAGCACTCTGCCAGCTGGCAAGTCTACATGACTCATCATGACTCAATGTGCAGGTTGTTGAAGACAACATGGTCTACCAGAGCACGGCGCCGATCAGTCCTGGCAACAGCGGTGGTCCGTTGCTGGTTTTCAGATCCGACAGCCTGGTCAGATCATCGACTTACGAAACAGATGGCAGAAAGCCCATTCTAGACACGGTGGTGGGTGTGAACTTCGCATCTTCTGCGTCTAAGTCCGCGCAGAATCTGAACTATGCTGCGCCTCAGCATGAGATCAGTACCACCGCAAGCCAATTTTGCAGGTTGACTTGGTTGTCAATTGAAAGCCGACCAGCAGCGCGATGAGAGAGTCTACCCAACGAACTTTATCCCCACTCATTCCCATTCTCCATGTGACATTATCTCAGACTGGGGTCTCTGCACCTCGCATCTCCCTCGTATCAAGCACAAGTCAGAGGCACCAGCACAATCAACAGTCCGGCTTATTGATGGCCTTGGTTATGCGTTGCATGAACTTCTGGATATGTTTGCCTCTTCACATCCAAGGTGCCCGCTTTCCGCATTGTGCAGGTCTTGGCAGAAACTAGCCTTCAAAACGGGGCGGGCACATGAATGTGGACAATGCGTGCACTGTGCTTCGAGTCTTACTTGTCTGTGCGTGCGCCACAGCTGGAGAGCATGCAACATGTCACTGAGGCTTATGCCAGAATGCGTTGCTTGGCAGCCAGCTATCCTTTGCATTCTTGCCATGGCGCATTCAGAAAGAAAAACGTGAGGTCAGACAAATTGCGAGGCAACCTTAGATGAGTTCGGCCGCGGAACAAGGAGAGCTGCGTTTTGTTTCCAGATTACAGATGCGTTATGTTGCGTCGTGTACTGCATTGGGAAGTGAGCTATCTCGTTTGTTCGTTTGCAGCTCACCACAGACCGTGCTGGGAACAGAGATGACAATGACTATGACGCAAGGGGCTTCACAGGGATCACGTAGGATCCAGAAATGACCGGCGTATGAGCTTGGATTCATATCTGGGCGAAACCAAGAAACCTAGACAGTCCCATTTTGACGAGACTTGCCAACATAAGCTCCCCCTCCTTGACCTGCCATGTAATTATGGCTGTCAGCTGGAGAGGCACCACATGGAGTTGCGCATCGCCCCAGTCGGTGCTCAACTAAGACGGCTTGTGCTGCTGTGTGCGTAGCCGAGTTTCTATTCGCAAGGTGTGGTTTACACACAGGCCACGCAGGACCGCACCAAAGCTGCCCAGTACAATAAGGTTCTTCAGTTTAACTTTAGCTGTGCGGCTGTGCCTGAATCATCTCACCAGAAGAATCATGAGCTTCAAGATTGTAAAATCGATTCGTCACCTCATACTCGGCATCGCATAAAAGGTCAAATCATCAAAGTAAGCATTGCAGGCACATCTTCGAAGAAGCGGCTGCCAGAATGGTGTGCCACTGGCGTCTCGGCTTCGCAGCCAGCCATAGCGCGAGCTCGAGCTTTGCGGGACCAAGGATCGCTTCATGCCGTTCTCGCTCTTCCGCTGGGCCCACCCACCGATCCAGACAGGCAGCTTTTTGGTCAAAGTCGCTCCTCAACTCAAAGGGTCATAATGCAACCAAAGCCGTCTCTATCTTTGCGATCGATTTAGGCACTCAGATCGTCAATTTGGGATGCTAATTTGGTCACCCACATTGTCAATTTTGGCCGCCAGATTGTCAATCTGGCCCCCAGATTGTCAATTTGGACCCCAAGATTTGTCAGCTTGGCCCCCACATCCGGTGCGGTAGCAGGGTAAAAGAGCAGAGTACTGCAGAAGTTGGGTGCATGCTGTTGTATGTGGAAAATTGTAACGTGTTGGGCAGCATGTCCTGACTGAGACTTGCCGTAGCTTGAAGGGAGGGGTCAAACTCTGGAGATTAGGCATTGAAGACCATGCTAAGCAAGTCATGCGACATGTAGACTGTCTTCGTGGGAACCCCGTGTGAGCTAGCTAAGGATGACACAGAGTTGGACACGTTCGGAATGGGCAAGCGATCCTCGGACTCCCTCACGTCACCAGAGAGCAAAGGCACAGCTGCGCTGGCACAGCAGCATTCCAAGGATTTGACTTCATGCAGCAGTACGTCAGCTTCAAGGATTTGCTTACTTTCAGGGAGCATTTGGATGATGTCGTCACGGTGACAACGTGTGACCAGGCTGCATTGGAAGATTCAGTCCCCGCACGTTGCTTGTGCAATCTTTTTCCACATAGACGCACGAGGGTACCTTCGCGGTGTATGCAATGCAGGTAATGATGGTAAATCTATGCAGCACAGCCTCAGCTTGCCACTTGGCAGATTTGTGGCCATATCGCATACTTACATTCGTAGATGTCAAGCCTGCGCAAATCGGAGGAAGTGGAATAGCAGCCGATTTGAAGGGGGAGTGCGGTACTTGTATGAGCCGAATTTTGATGAAACTGCCAAAGATTACGCAGCTTTGCAGCAAAGAGAACTTGATACAGCAGCGCATTTTCTCAGCGATCTGCACTCTAGCATACATCACGTCAAGCGTTGCCAGGAATGGTTTGCAGGAGTAACCATGGTCCAGCTCACGCTGAATCACGTAGATGCGCTACTTGTTTGCATTGTCGAGGCATGTTGGGCCTGCTCCTTCCCAGCGTGTGCTCTGTTTCCAGCTCCACTTCAGAAGAGGTTTGTCGCAAGGCAGGTGGTATCAGGCAGGCAGAAGAGCAAGGGCTTTTACAGGGCCGCCACAGAAGTCGCAGGATTTGAGAAAAGAGAGCCCAGGTGTAGGAGGAGGGGTCTCGCAGAGGATAGATGAAACCGCTAGCAACAGAAAATCCAGATGACCTGCCAAGGCCTAGTTACATCGTATGTACAAAAGCACCAACAGGTGGATATCTATGCTTGGCGGAGAGACTCTAGGCAGATTCTACTTGGAGGAGCAGCTTAGGGCCGCGCACCATGGGAAAAGAGAAGATGTGCCCATGTGTTGCCAGACTCACTTTGCCACACTGTCGAGCGTCCAGATCATTATTCATGGCATATTGAATGCGCGGCAGGAGAACACGTTACAGCCTCGTGTGGCAATTACTTCCTGCGCATCTGGATTCAGCTGCGAAGAGATTGTGGGCACTGGCATGATAGTGCCTTGCCGCAGAGAGGGCCAACGTAAGAGGAGTATCGGAATTTGCTTGCCGGACCTGTGGCAGGTTGAGAGCATCAATGGCTGCCAGCTTGCAGCATCAGCAGATCTTCTTTCGCAACCACATTTCAGGGCCGGCTGCTGGACTTCCGTTGTTGTTTGAGGCTGTCCCGTCTCCACGCTAGCAGACATTCGCCGCTGCTTCGTTCCTAAGAAGAGCGAAGCCTGGGAACTTGTCACCGATCGAGGCCTAGAAATCATTACTGCCGAGCACTCGATGCGAACAGAAGCAATTTGGATCCCTCTGGCACAGGAGTTGCTCTGGCTGTGGACTTTCTGGAGGAAATGAGTCAAGCTGTGCGCCTCGTGCATGAGGATTTCCATGCATGCAAGTCTGTGCTTTCATGTGTGAAACTTTGCCAGCATGCAGCTTGCCCTGTTAGGACTTGACACTCCTGAGCAAGGCTGTGCGAGAGGCTGCCCTCCAACTGAGTGCCCAGATGCAAGTGGGTGGTTGGCCTGCGCAGAAGAATGCAGCATCTGAATCGCAGCCAACTCAGTATTGGTCAGTGGAGAAGGGGCGTGGCTTACCCTAGGCAACTCCTCCCAACGAGTGCTCAAAGCGCGCAAGATCGAAGAGACGGAAGGGAGCAACGAGACTCACAATCAAACAAATACAACGAACAGCTCTGACAACTCTGGGAGCCCCGGACGCAAGCAGAACAGATGCAGCCCAGCGCAACAGTCTGGTGATGCGCAAGGCAGCTGTAATGCCGAGGAACAACCCCGGCCGATTGGGAGAGCAGGATGATGCAGAGGACTGCTGTCATTGCTTTGCCATGCGATCCCGCAACATCCTGCAACAATGTTACAAGCTGCGCCGAGCTGACTGCGTGTTGTGGTCATGTGAAAGAGGGAGCCATAGCGGTGCTTGATATTCGCTCTATGCACATTTGTGATGTGCGGAGGAATATCACCGAGCCGAAGCGGGAGATGTGAACGACTCCGTGGAGGCTCAAGCATTAACCTGTGTCATGAATTGGCCATTCATGGTCATGCGTGCAACTGTGTTTGATCCTATCGCAGAGCAAAGAGCCCTGCACCGGCTGAAAGGTTATCATCCACATGAAGCACAGAAAGCAAAAGAGGCACAGGAGCTGCAATCCAGCTTAGCGAACGCCTCCCTTATGACTCTTTTGTCATGTCAGCTCAACCGAGTATGATTGAAGCGCTGACACATTAAGAGGAGCTTGGCTCCGTTGGCGCCAGCTAGCGAAGGAGCGCCAGGCCCTGCTCAATCAGCCGCTTGGACTTGCACCTGCAACTGAGTTGGGTTGACCGAAGTTGAAGTACAAAATTAAATCTCACCTAAGGCCGCGCGCCACACAGATTCTTCCACCAAACCGGAAATGATTGGGCGCAAGACAGCGAACTCGACGTCAATTGAGCAAGGGGCCAGGAACTAAGTGAAGGCCGCATTGGCTGGGTCCGATTTTGCTGTCAAGCAGGCTGAAATTTCATGTGCCTGGACATTGAGGAAAACAATACAAGAAGGCAGAAGACTCACGCACGGCACCACGGGCAGAGTAGTCAAAAGGAAGTGAGGCTTGTCCGAAATGGACAAAGGAACACAATGCAGCTTCATGTTCAAGTTTTCTTTGCATGTGTAACTAACTGCACATTCAAGGCAAGAGGACGCTGTGAAGCCCACAGGTGGGCAGGTGGGAAGCCAGCACTCATTGCCGCATTTGTTTCCAGGCATTTATTTAACCGCCAGGAACAAGTGCATGGCACAGAGCGGGCAAAGGATGCGCGTGAGGCCTAGACGACTTGGCCCAAAGCACTTTCAAGATCTTGCAACTTCAGATGGCTGAAGCTGCCAGGAGGAGCAGGAGAAGCTAAAGGCAAAGTACAAGGTGCAGGTCCGGCCTGAATCAGCCCGCCACCAAATGGCGCAGATGACACTGTGGAATCCTTTGCTGTATGTAGTTGAAAGAAGCTTGCATTTTCCAAAATGGCCCTGCGGCTTGCTTGACTGCTACTTCCAGAGCTTTGAAAAGCGATTGATAGAGGGCACTGCCATTGACATAGACGCATCGATCTATCAGCCTTGCCGCAGGCACAAGTCACGTCGACTGCAGACTTCGTACCTCAGGTTACTCCGCAGCCCCTTGCGTGCAAAGCCTATGCTGGCACCCTGTGAGGCTGGAAACTTCGATGCATGAAGCGACCCAGCGCCTGAGATACGTAGGCAGCAGCATTGGAGATGGAGACTACCAAAGTTGACATTTCCGACTGCTGGCAAATGCGGTCAAAGGCATGCCAAGCAGCCAGGCTGTACAGCGCAGCAGTCGTAACCTCACAAATTGAACAACGGCAGTCGCTACAGACCCTTCGCTGTGCGCAGAAGAGATGCTTAAAACCGGAAGCCCCTTGTAGTCCTGATTTGTGTTGGAGTGCTTGAGTTGATAGGCCTTGACCTAGTCAGAGTGTGCTTCCATCTCCGTCCATGACGAGCTTCAAGTTGTCAAGTGGGCAGCGTTCAGCAGACAAGGAATTGGTGACCAAGCCGCCCACTCCGAAGACGGAGGCCGAGAGTCAACTGATGATAGAGGCAGGGCCCAGAAGCGCAATGCAAGCTATGGCAGCAATGCAAGTTTTAGTTCTTCAGCATTTTTGGCAGACCCGGCTGTCCCAGGCTTTGAAGCAAAATGACAATCTGATGAGTGTTGATTCTCGACCGTGAAGAGTCCACAAGCTTGATGCACTGCTTTCATGGCTCGCTATAGAGCACAGTCGAGTTTGCCCTTGCTTTGCATAATCTGAGGTGTCACTAAGTGACGGCAATCTTTCTCAGATGGTCGCTGTCGCCTGGAAGGCGCACTTGTGCATGCGCTTGCAGTGACGAAATTGTCTGCACGAGCATGGCGCAATGGGATCAATCTTCGGACTGTTTCAACCGTTTGCCCGGGTTGCACTTGCGACTTTCCAAATGAATGATACCAGCATTGTTATGCTTGCCCTTTTGGCGCCTGTCTACCTATCCTGCCTCAGCTTCCTACAGTGCCATTGACACAGCAAGCTGTTTGTTTCAAGCCCCTGCTCAATGTTCATGCAATCAAGCACATGTCGGCTATCATCCAGCAGAGCAGTGCGACCCCATGGGAAGCATTGAATCGTAGTCCTGCTGAGCGTCGTACTGCATCCTGGGAAGCCAGAACGAAGCCAGAAGTTAAGCCTATGTGCCAGGAGGAGGTGAAGTCTGGCACCAAGTTGATTACCGAAGGCTTGGTGGACCCAAGGGCTTCACTCACTTGTCAAGCCTTCGTCGGTCCACGAGATTGACAGAGATTGCTAAGCCCTTCTCGTGGAGGCGACTTGAATGCTGATTATTTTTACATCGTCCAGGACCATAGATTGCACCACGTGGCACTACTGGATTTTCTAATGATTTCAGCTCGCAATTCATGCAGGAAGGAAAGTTCAACGTGATCATAGGAGAGTCAAAAAGTGCAGAGGAGGGTGGGCCACAGGTGGCTGGAGTCTCAGAGCTTCAGTCGCACCGTGGCGTTGTGCTGAACAGTCAAAAGAACACTGCGGTAGAGCACCACTAATCAGCATAGACCTGGCTTCAGGTGGCCTCTATCCCTAAGGGCGGAAGCTTTGGAGAGCTGGCTTTGCTGTACTTTGCTCCCCGGGCTGCAACCATCCAGGCCGGGTTCTAGGCCTTCGGCCTTCAGTGAGCATGTCAAAGATGATGCTTCCTGATGAAGGCTGCGGAGGATGCCGTGGTCTGGGTGATTGATCGCAAGAACTTCAAGGACACCTTGCTTCAGCCAGGCTGTCACAAGCAAATCCGCCTTAGGAGCTTGTAGCAAGCTTGCATCTCAGGAGATCCTGGCACAGTCCTCGAACGCGACAGCAAAGGAGTACATCAAGTATTTAGATAAGGCAGACGGGTCAGGAATCACATGAATCAAGGTAGAAGCCCTGCTTGAAACCAGAACTCTGCTTTGCTTTCAGGTTGAGATACTGGCGCCATTGCAGGAGCCCGCTTGTTGTTGCAAAGGACCTGCCCAGCATGCAAGAGTGAGGACGATGAAAAAGCAGCCGTTGCGCAAAGCCTGTCAGAGATGCACTCCTGCAGCAAAAAGAGGGATTGGCTTGCATATGCTTGCACGTTTCTAGCAGATTTAACACGTGTCCGCCCAGGTCTTTCAGTCGCGGCGAAGTCATCTTCCAGCAGGGTGAAAAAGGCAAGGCCCTTTTGCGACTGTTGCAGAGATACTGTTGCAAGTAGCGGGAGAAGGGCGGCATCAACTCGTCATGACCTGACCAGCTGCCTCTACAACCTCAGAGCCTGACGCCTGCAGGTGATGCTTTTTATATTCTGATTGAAGGGCAGGCCATGGCATGTGCGGGGATTTTCCATGCCATCAGAGGAGAGGTGTACAGCACAGCTCCAATGGAGGTCAGCGTCGTAAAGGACGGAAGAGAGGTGACAAAATTAATTGCCACGCCAGAGAAGGCTTCATTCTTCGGCCGGCACCTGAAGGGATTATTCAACTTTTCTTCTGGGCTGGCCTCGGCAAACCACTTGAAGGCGACAGAGCCTTGCTGAGCAACGAACCCCGCAATGTTCCACGTCAGCATGTGTGATTATATGGTCATCTGCCTACACGCCTGGAGCATGCCCGACAGCTAGATTGCAGCTGAGGCTACGTTGCAGGTTATCTCCGACACGGCTAAGGAAGCAGTGTTTGCTCGCGGTTCCTCATTACCAGAATCGCATCTGACTCAAAGAGCTTTTTCTCGACCTGCAGACCCTGACCGTGGACCGCCAGTCCTTTGACATGATCCTCGGACCACTTGCAGAACTTCAGACGATCCTTGGAGAGTGCAGAAGTTGCGCATGTTACGCTCAGTCCTTCAAGCTGCTCCAGCATTTCATCTGGGAAATTCTGCTTCGTCTTCAGGAGAGGAAGAGGTGGCAAGAGCAAGCTGGTTGCAACCTTGCTGCAAAAAAGGTCATGAAATTGTGACTTGTCAAACGCCCGACGTCCACCACTGCAAGCAGTTCAGAGACGATGGAACAAAGTTTCATGTCAGCAGCGCTTCATGCGAATGGTCTCTGGTGCTGGGTAGGGAGCATGAGCTAGCAGTATTTGTCACCAGCCACTTTCGCGGACATTTTCGGATCAACGACACTTTAGAGGCCGCCAGGTTAGTCACGGGAAGGTGTTCGGGCAAAGCGTCCGCGATCTAAGGGCCGCAGCGTTGCCAGCAGCGCTGTTGCAATGGGCAACGTTTCCCGCAAGTTTGGTCTGATATTGCGGAAGGATTTGCCCCGTCCTCATATCATCCGCTCTGATTGATTTCTGATGATGGATGCCAAAGCAACCGGTCAGTTGCGACAAGGAAGAGAATCGGATTGCTTGGTTGCGGTGGTTTTGGTGCCGTGGAGTTGGTGGAGCATGCTGCCCTGGGCGACACCTACGCTCTGAAGGCACCAGGTTTTATCATGTGGCTCAGTTCCATGACATGAAGCATAGCAGGGTCACAGGATGCAAAAAAGGCGTGGTGTACTTCGAAGCCTTGTCACAAGTCATAAGCATATTGGCGAAGCATGCCGAAGTCTGCTTCACTTTTAATTCAACTGGCGGCAGAACCACCTCAGATGCTTTAGCTCTTTGCAGAACTAATGGCAGGCCCTCAGCAAAGGCTACGTCATGAAGCCCTTGGCTGAGAAAATGTCTCCGTATTTTTTGCGCTGCGTCCACTTGTTATGTTTCGGATGCATCTCCAAAGGAACGCTAATCATCGAGGCGTATGCACAGAAGATTCGGAAGGAAATCTGTAAAATCTGCTGACATACGTTTGCACGATATTCGTTTTGGGCTGATTTGGGGACTTTGGGTCCTACAGTTGCGGGCTTTCGGTTCAGGATCTAGAGCCGTTGTGAAGGCTTGTCAGCCAGAAGAAAAGCGCGCTACCCTAATCTATAGGGTTTCCTAGCCAATTTCAAATTTCAGGCCACTTTGCAAAAGCTGAAGCCGGAAAATGACGTTATGAACCCCCGTCGAACTCAAACTCCGTTCCCCCCAAAAGAACGAACAAGCGCACACACGCACAACCGGGAGGCAGAATTGCGAGGACGCTCCACACGGAAGCACGATCAGGAGGTGGAATTGCAAGGACTGGAGCACAATTGGGAGACGGAGTTGCGATGGCGCTCCACCGACTTGGAAGCAGCATTCGAGCACGCTCCATGCAAAAATGCTATCGAGAGGCGGATTTGCAAGGACGCTCCACGCACGGTACTGTTCCGCCACATTGAGAACTTCAATGGGCAAGCCGATCATGGAATTCAAACTCCCACCAACTTGACGACAGATAATGAGGTCCTAAGGGTAGACACCGGTAGCAGCGGTAGTAATAGCAGTACTGTTAGATAGCAATACGACCACTAGCCATAGCAGTAATCAAAGTAGTGATGTGATAGTAGCAATTGCCGTGACAGTAATTTCATCGCTTACGCGAGACCGCCTTGGCGAGTGTGGTCGAGGCGAAGAGAGCATGCCAGCAGGACAGAATACGTGCAGCGGGCGCAAGAGTGTCCCAAATCCGTGTTTTTCGCCTGGCGCCTAGGGGGAGTGCATTTCAGACCCATGCCAACCTGTGCGGAACCCAGCAGACCAGCCGGAACCCCCCTGCCCCTCGTAGAAACCAAAAAAAAACGTTCCCCCCACCCGGAATCGCGCCCATGAGAGGGGGCAGGGGGACGGTTAACTTACTTTCCTAATCTCCGGACCTGGATCTAAACGCCCGAGGCCTCCGGCCTCGGCGGGTTTAGTCGCTAACGCGAGACAGCCTCGGCAAGTGCGGTCGAGGCACCTTGACCAAACTGTTCGTGTACGAAGGTGCCACGGAATGCGAGTACAACTAGTAACCATTTGACCAGGTTCAGCTCAACGAGCATGTCTCACTTGCTTAACTCACCCCTGTCAATTTTTTCACGTTACGTGAAAGATGTTGAAAACGCCGATCATGAACTGCGACGTGCCTTCTCATACATGACCAAACAAGTTGCGTGACCTGCTTCCCGCTGCCCTCTGGCTTTCAGCCCCAAATCTGTGATTTCGCCCATGGGGGGAGTCTGCATTTAGACCCTCCCCAGCCTATGCGGAAACTAGCAGACCAGCCGAACCCCCCCCAGCCCAGAATCTGGAAGGCGGTAAGGGGGAGGGTTAACTTACTTGCCTAATCTCCTGACTTGGATCTAAACGCCCCAGGCCTCCCGGCCCCGGCAGATAGTGGTTCTAGTCGTCGTCTTCGTCGGATCTGAAGTAGCAGTTCAGGTCGTAGTTAAAGGAATGACGGCAGTAGCAAGATTAGTACTAGTAGTAAGCATGGTAAGCATAGCCAGTACAAGCAAACAATTAATATTCCTAGAACACTTATTGTTCGCGCAAGTTGACACTAGCGCTACTTCCATGGGCTGGCCTGTCATCATTCAAATTGAACTCAAGCTCGTTGGCGGGATTGCAAAGTTTGGACGATGTGTAATCAGAAGTTGTGCGCGAGCTGTACTTGAACTGTTGCCAGGCAGTTTGACTTTTTCCTGACAAGCTCCACCGCCCGTAACTTCCACGTCGGGGCGTGGCATCGAATTCGAACTAAACCGAAACTCGAGGGGAGAATCGGACAGGTGTTCCCCAACAGCTCCCTTCGGCTGGGGCACTTAACTGGAAGTGGAGCATTCAAGTGTTTAAGTACCAGCAGCTCCCAGGTCGGGTATGCAGCACAATGCCGTGCTCCCAGAAAAACAGTTTTGGGAGGGATGATGCTGGCAATGCCGTGACGGCAACGCCTAAGCTCCGAGGTTTTGAATGAGAAGAACGTGCAGATAATGTGCGACTCACCGCGCCTTGGCTTTGTCATATTTGTCAGGTAACTCGAAGGCTTGACCGTCACTTTGCGCATGACCCTTGCACATGTCTGGGCCGTTTGGATTTGGGTGAACTCTTGGAACACAGCATTCGGCCTTCCCTTTCATATGAGCATGGTCTTAGTGCATAGAGTGGGAGCTTTCTTCTGAGGTTTATCATCAAGCTGTATGAGACCTACAATGGCACGCAATCGCTCTACTTCCTTCTGGAGCCAGCACTAGGAGGCAGCATGTCAGGGCATACTACCTGTACGAAGAAGTGTTGACTTTCGTTTGCAGGCGAGCTCTATGCGACGTACAACAAGAAGGGCGCGTGCCTCGGATCTGACCTCGCATAGGTGGTGTCCAGCTGCTGCGAATCAATCAACACATATGAGATTGCCAAGGTCTCTTTGGCAAGGAAAGCCACGCAAAGTTCTACGTGGCTGGTGTGGTGAATGTAGCTTGGCAGATGAGCGCTCAGCTACAGAGCTACTCCAGTTGGCTTGTTGCGGCGTGTAGGCCTTTGAACATCTGCACGGCAAGAAAATCATCTTCCGCGACTTGAAGCCTGAGAACCTGCTGCTCACGGAGTCACATTGGCATGATTGTCGCCCTGCCTGGCCAGCACTTGAGACGGCGCAGTCACCAGGCTTGGCCACATCAAGCTGACAGACATGGGCCTTGCGAAGGTCGTGGTTGGAAAGCCGCTGGCTTAGATAGCTCTTCCTGCGCGTTCCCACTATAGCCGTGGTACAGTAGTGAATGCAAGTCCGTGCAGCCAGGACTTACACAACCTGCGGAACCCCTGACTACTTCGCACCCGAAATGATTGCGTCAGCTGGTCACACGTCGGCAGTTGACTGGCTGCCTGCCTGCACAAAGGATACCAGGAGCAGGACAGAATGCATTCTGCAAGTCGCGGAAAAGAGCTGTGCTGTGCGTTGAGGTGGACTCTTGGCGCTTGGCTCGGTCCTAGTCCTGCGAGTACTGGCAAGGATGCAAGTCAGCTGACTTAAGGCGTGTTGAGCTTTGAGCTCATGGCTGGCCACCCGCCATTTGAGCTCCCTGCTCAGACTTGACTTGCTTTCCCTGGCTTGGAGTTTGACTGCCTGTGAGATGTCTGGATGGACGTGATAGAGAGAGGGAGAGAGCAAGCAGAGAGAGACAGAAAGTGAGCCTAGAAAGTCTGAACAGCAAGCAGCCCAGAACTCCGGGTAACTCAGTGCAAGGCTTGATGAGGTAAACACGTCAACTGTAGAAACTTTTGCAGGCCGGGCAACTTCCATGGCCCAATTCGGTGCAAGTTACTGAGTCCTTTCGATACAACCTGTGACCAGGGAGTCTAGAGACCGAACACTTTTGCAGTTTGTACCGTCTAACCCAAAGTTGTTCCAAGCAGTGTTGTGTACTCCGTGCGCAAGTAATGTAACTCATCAGGCAGAGTCCCAGGGTGGCAGGTGCAGGACAGATGGTTGGGCGCTGAATACACAGCTTGCCGGAGGAACACAAGCTCGCAATGCGAAGGTGACTGCCATCAATGTTTCAAGCACCCTGAGAGAGGAGAAAAGATCGGTCAAGAGATCCACAAAGCTGACAAAGCTGGAAACACAAAATATGGCACATCAATTGTAGGAAAGAATTTGCAGCCAACAGGAAGCAAACGGTCGATGTACAACGCGCATAGTAGTGCATTGTAACTTAATTGCAGGGACCCTGGCTAGCCCGCGACTCCGGAAGACCACACGCAAGAGCTTCTGACCGGGCTGACCCGGATGCGATTGGGCCTGGCAGTGGGGGACGGGTCCAACTTACCAGATGGGGCGTGCCTGGGCTCGGCAAAGCGGTCGACAATCCCATGTAGCTTAACATATGCCTCATCGGTCCACATCGGCGTTCTCCACTAATCACTGAGAAGATTGAAAATGCTTCGCTTTGAGTTTGAGTGAGTGGCAGCTTGCCAGATGAGTGGAGCTGGATCGGCGAAGCTGCTGGCAATTCCATGTAGTTTAACACATCCGCCCATATCCAACTTCCTCGATCATACTACGTGGTGGTGAAAGAGAAACAGCCCTTGGTCAGCATGTACACTGACAGTAAACTGAGGTCTGCGCACCCGATGCAAATCTACCAAAAGGCGCCTCGAGCTGGTCAGGGTGATTGGTCCTGGGATTGCCTTGGGTTAGGTGAACAAAGGCATCAGCAAGGTGAACTTCCCCAACAAGATGAAAGGCGTGGTTGAGGAGCAATCGCACGGCTGGGGTTTAGCTGCCTTCCTACAACACCCTAGCTTTACCTTTTCATCACGTGCCGCAGGACTTGGTGAAGAATCTCTGCAAGAAGGACGGGATGAGGGCCTCTCACAGCTATCCCTTGTCGGGCAAGCAAACTAACACCCTGTCGAGGAGCCTGCTGACAGACTTCCAATGAGGAAGGGCGGAGCGGGCAACATCCGCAAACATGCCTGGCCAATGCCTCAGACATCGCAGAGGAAAGCGTACTTAGCAGGTGAAGGATGTTCGCAGCACCAGGTTCTCCACCTTCGAATGGGAGAAGTACGACAATGGCAACATGCCTTCGCCATACAAGCCTCAGGCCGAATGGCCAGTTGCCACGTTAGCACACGAATCGTTGAGCTGAATCTTGGCTCAAGCTGCCTGCCAGGACTACCTGCGACAGAAGACATTCACTGCATACTTCCGTAAGCCCTCTCCCGCGTCAACCGAAGCAAATTTCTAACATCAATTCCAAGCCGTTTAAGGCATCGTGTTCCCCAAAGTCATAGTTGCTCCGGCCGACACCAAAAAGCCTGCTCATTCATTCACTCATTCATTCATTCATTCATCCATTCTGCTCCGAAAAGGGTACTGTAGAGGCGGACCCAATCCCGTTCCCATATGCAGCTGTCCCGGTCAGACCAAAAAGAACAGACATGGAAGGATGGAAGGCACTTGCAAAACAAAGCAGTTGCTGCCCTCCACCAAAATGATGGCGTCAAAGTGACCCCACGCCAATCTATACAAGACGGATACCAGAAAATCCTTGCAGCGCTGTAGCCAACCATCCATAAGACCAAAGAAGCTCCAAAACGGCCTAGCAGTGGCCGGGGGGCAGGAAGTGGGCGCTCGCTGCTACCATGGCACAGACGTACCTGGAATTTTGTCGTATAGAGAAAGAGAGCGCGCTCGGAAAGACAATCAGTGCAGCAATCGCAGGTCGCCATCAGGATGAGGACCCACAACTGGCAAAGTCATGCAGCCCGTTCGTCAAACACAGACTATCTCAAAGAAGAGAATCAATCCATAGCGTGCTGACTCCAGCACCACGTACACAGAGGGCTTGCCCGCACCCAGTCTGCTATCTCAGAACATGACGACAAGGTCAAGCAGTACGTAGCATGTCCAGTGCTGCCACACATGACAGCCATCCCATACAGAGGCTCGCTGGCAAAGAGGTACTTTTCAAGGAGGTGGTAAAGCCCGCAAAGCTCGACATTGAATCGCTCTCCCACAAAGACCGGTCTCCGCCATCATGCCGAGCATGCAATCGTGTTCTTTGCACGTGGAAGCTCGCAAAGTGAGGCTTGAATACTGCCTCTTCGTGCGGCGTGTGCTGGGGGTAGTTGCAGAGCATTGCCTTTATGTGCTCATATGCCTATTGGTACATTCCATAGGTTGACTTGCATGAATGCAATGTGACAGGTGCAAAGCAAGAAGGACATGGCCAACTTCACTGCGCGCAAGGAGGTAGGGGTTCTTGGTTCCAAGGTTTGCGTTCATGGATCACCATGGGTCAAAAGTGCACTTATGTTTCATCAGGATATGCCACCCAATGTGCAGTACAAGGCCCTGCAGCAAGGGTGCAGTCAGATACCAACAGCACGCTCAGGCTGTAGTCGAGTGTTTGTTCAGAGAGATCAGATTCCTGTTCACAGGATGACGGTTCTGGCTGGGATGCAGACTTCGCGACTTGCTCTTGAGCACAGATCCAGGCCAAATGGCCCCGGCAAAGGCGCCTGACTCAGCCCGATGGCAAGGGATCTGCCATTGACGCGTTGTAGCGCGCAAAGCTAGTTTTCCTACATGTTACTTGCACGCCCCCTTTTAAAGAAAGGGTTGCCTGTTTCCTGCGGATGCCCAAGTCCCACCATGAAGCACACAAAAGAACAGGCCTCGTTAGCCTCGTTAAGGAAGCGACTTGGGCCTTGGGTGTTTTGCAGCACGGGCTGTGGCTTCGTTAGTGTGCAGCTGCATCGGTGCAGCAACTTGATGCCAAAGCAAAGTAGTCATGTCCTCGCGCGCGGCAAAACGGGAGCTGGCACATCGAGCCGATTGAATGCATGCCACTACCCAGCCGCCATGAGCACTAACAGGGCAACTGGCCATCAATTTGGCAAAGCAGGCACCAGCCGGCTGCAAGTTCTCCAAAGCGAGTTCCAGGAGCATGCTGGTCAGGTCCGGCTTGACCACTCAATTGAGGTGCTCTATGAATACTCCCAAGCACGGAGCACTGTACTAATGCTTCTGTGAACCACTGGCATCGACCACCTTTAGCCTAAGTGCTGCAAAAGTTCTTTAGGCAATGTGCAGATGCGACGTTCAGAGGCGCTTGTTGTCAGAAAGGTTGCTGTACTCGCCAGGGCAAACAGCTCAACGAGAAGGCTGCCAAGCATGGACCCAAGGCTTCGGCGGACCTGGTTCTCACAGAAAAGCTGCAAATGCCGATGTACAGTGCCAGAAAAGAGCTGCCTAGGTTGGAGAAGGAGTCTCAGGACCTTCAGCTCAAGCTACAGGAGGCGCAGAAGAAGAAGGAGGCCCGTTACAGTCGTTGACGAGATGCATCATCCATCATGCACTTTCAGTCTCTTTCATTAAAGGACCTGGTGGGAGCCCTGGCAAAAAAGGAGGAAGAACATGAAGAGCTTTTGGTGCAGCACCGAGGGGCAAGAAGTTGTAAAGCAATCAGCTGGTTCGCAGCCATCCACAGGTTAGGAAAGCCGACCTCAACGCCGAGCTTGAGGATCGTATCAGATTGGAGCATGAGACCGACACGTGCTCGAGCCTGCCCACAGTAGACTTGAAGATGTCGTGAAATTGGTGAAGGAGCTCAAGAAGAAGTTCCGCTGTGTCGTCTCCTGACTGACCGTGGTCGGTGTGTAAACAAGCGTCGACGGCAGAGGCGATCTAAGTTTGGTCGTATAGCTACAGGACACGTGAATGAAGCTTAGCCCAAAGAGGCTTGGACATTTCACGTGCTTGAGCAATCCTGCCCACCTGCGGTTGCGACTATGCGTTGGCATCCCCGCCTAGGGCCCAGCCCTTAGCAGAATATGCTGAGGCTCAGTGCTCCTGGCATGTGCGCAGCAAGGCCCGAAAAAGCTGCATGATAAGTATGCCATGTGTCAAGGAACAGATGCGACGCATGCACTCACAGGTAAATGGTTGACCTGACAAACCGCTGATAAATTTTGGCAGCATTAGGCTCAGACAGCACGTATATAAGAAGCAACGATTAGTACGATTAGTGCCCAGCGAAGGCCTACGCAGGCCTTCCTTCTGTCAAGCTCATGAAAGTAATGGAATCTGAAGGCCCCAGACAGCAGAGGGAAATAAAAAGCAAACCGTGGCAGGTGGCAGAGATGGTGCTCAAGACCAAGCTTACTGAGGCCTCTCGTGTGCACTCATCCCACAGATGGCAATGTGGCCTACAGAGTCTCACCTAGGCACTGGGTATCAAGCTTCACCCTCAGAAGGAACAAAGAAATGCTACAACAGAAATCTTTGAAAACTTGCCAAGGCATCCGATCATTCAGGGCGGGTTTGGCACTTAATTTTGCCTGTGCAGCACTGAACAGATGTATCAAGTGATGCGCTGTGGAAATTTGCTCATACACGCGAAGCATTTTCAAAAGAACTAGCTGTAGAAGAGCCGTTTGCGCGAGATGTTCTGAAGCGCTCGTTTGAGGCTCAATGGCTAGATAGACCTCATGCTTCTGCATAGCTTTCAGCAAGTGGCTGTGTCAAGACGGGATGACACGCAGTGACAAGTTATGGGCCCTAGCAACATTTGGCGTTTCATTCATGAGCCCGGTTGCAAAAAAAATCATGATGCTGGAGAGCCACCTTCGGCATCTGGTCCGACAGCCCTCAAGATGTGCCGCCTGTACGAAGCTAGTGGAGCAGTTGCAAACCCTTAATTGGCTCAGAGTACTCTGTCGGGTATGGACGAAGTCTTACTCTTCAGATCATGCGAACATACTGATAAAGCTGCATTCCTGCGCAAGCAAGTAAGTAAGTAAGTAAGTAAGTACTAGTAGGTAAGTATGATGTGGTTTAAGGTAGTCGCGTTGGTGCTGGGCTGCTTTCTGCAGATGTTTCTGGTCCAGTGCCTGTCGTGGTCCTCCCCGAGCCTGGGCATGAAACGGGGATTTGAAGCAAGTTTCCGGGGATGGTAGGCTTTGGGACGCTTCGCGATTCTGTGGGCAGGGGCGGGCTCAGAGCTGTGTGCGGCATCCAAGGCTTAGACCCACAGATGTCAGCACCGGCCTGAGGGGTCAAGCATTGCTGAGCGCAGCAACTCACCGCCGCATCGCGCAGCAAGCGGCGGCTTCTGACACCGAGCCTTTTTTGCACACTTGCTGTTTGCACACGAGATACGCCCACGCAGACAACCGCCTGGCCAGCTGAGGGTGTGTTCGACCAGGTTGCTGACATGTTTGAGGGGCCTGCTTTTGAAGAAGGCTTGACGTGATATTTGTCCATGTCTTGGTCATTGCATGCAGCGCTGCAAGAGTTGCACAGAACTACACCCAGTAACGAGGTGAGCAGTGGCGAGCGTTGACCAGAATCAAGGTTCGCACAGAACCGAGTATCAAGGCGCCACAGTTAGACGACAAGGTCATCGACAAAGGAACTCGCTTGGATTTAGCATGCATGGGAGAACCGCATTTGCGCCTGTACTTCAATTGGCCAAATGGGCATGTGTTGGGAAACGACGGCCTTAGGTGAAATCTTCTTCGTTGCGGAAAAGCGCAGAGCCAAGATTCCAACAGGCGGGTGTTTTCATTTAGAACAGCTCGTCATCGCTTCTCATGTGACCCCTGTTTACCTCTAATGACTCTAATGCTAATGTTCGGTCATGTGTTGGTGTATCCGTTGCCTGGAAAGCTTGCAAAGTTTCAACGAGAACGCCCAAATAGGCTTGGAAATGCTTAGTCCAAGCAGCATGAGTGCCACTGGACACAGGGATGGATGGTCCCCTCATGCACTTAAGAACAAAGTTGCTTCAGGCTGGGGGCAGTATCGGCGCCAGGTACATAAACGCTTGCTTGCTGCTCATTCTCTGCTGCACAAACTTATTACCTATCTCTCACTCTTGCGTTCAGGAAGATAGGAAACGAACAATTCAGGCATCCGCCACGGCTTCAGGGCGCAGGGCAAGGCTAGTGGCCAGAGTGAAGAGCAGATGCTTCTACTGAGCAGAACATTCCGAGCGCTGTCCTACGCACAGGTTTGCAAAGTTCGGTGCATTGCCAGGATCCCCATGCACACGCCGACGATTTACGCCAAAGCCGACTCCTGAAGCCCCTCTTTTACGCTGCCCTACCACACCCCGGAGATCATCCATCCCTGAGAAATGGCCTGACGGGTACTTGGCTCCAGTCATGGTATCTCGCTTGCTGGGCACAGGTCCTCTGTGGGCTTGTGTCCCCACTTCATCCGGAGACACTGGAAACCCGTGTCCACAAGCCCAGCGCGAGCAATAAGGGAGGGACCGTATCACGGCCTTTGTTCTCAGAGTCAGCTGTAAAGATGTCGCAACACATTGTGCGGGGGCAGTGCATCGGAATCGTGGGTTCATCTGCGCACAATCTCATCGTAATACAGTGTAATACCCCTGGCCTTGCGCACGTGCAAAAAAGGCGTTGAGACATCTACGTCTCACCAGTATTCCCGGTCACCGTTGCTCCTTCACCGGCAACCCTGGTCCCCAAACCGTTTCAGTCGCGAGTCTTATAAAGGTCAACGGCTGTGGGAGGGCTATGAGACCCAATGAACAAAGTGGCACAGCCGTGAAGTTTCAGGTTCAGGGCTCCGAGGGTTTAGGATTCTTGTACCAAAGGTGGAAAACTTCACTCACAAACTCTTAGACGTCAGTCATGCTTGGTCGACATGAGCACACGCATCCGGGCTCAGCATGTAAACCTGCGCAATCATCGTCAGCAAGTCACGGAGAGCAGGCCATTCATAAGAAGGTGGCTACAGTAGCGCATCTTCCCTGAGCACCCCAATGAATGGCCAGGTGTTTCGCCAAGGCAGTCCTTTGATTTATGAGTTTATGTTTTTTGCCCCAGTGTTTTTCATTAGACAGCATGGGTGTCAAAAACTAGGGAGCGCGACATCAGAAAAATTGCTGCTGAAGCCATTTTCGGAGCCCTGGTACGACTCAAGAACCAGCAAGATTCGGGGACTCTGGCTCGAGGCCGTGCACTGTTCGCAGGTCAGAGCAAAGCATATCCACGCAGAGGCCAGAAACATGAAGCAAGAGGGTGGCTTGCGCCCTCAACTCTTCAAAACACGGATGCCAGGCCAGACTTCTCCTGTCAAAGTGATCAACCAACCCCCGAAGCCCTTCAAGTAGAATCAGCCCTCCACCTGCTGCGAAGACAAAATTACAATTTTCTCATTCTTCATTCTCCTGTCCAGAAGTCTCCCCAGGTCTGGTTGGACCATGCAAGCCCATTACAGAGGAAAAATGTCAGAGTGGCGCTAGGAAGGTGCTCTTGGGCAAAACTTCTAGCCTCAACTCCAAATTGCAGCTATGCTAGCCATGCAAGTGGCAAAAATTGCAGCTGTCCCCAACACTTCAAATTAATTCCAAGCACCGCACAAAGTCAAGGATTCGCATCTTTTCAGTCGATGTACAGTATGCAATTACCCCATGATCTCGCCATATGAAATTATCAAATCCTGAAGCTTTCTCAGTTGTCATTTGACTGTTGCAGCTGCAAAGTGATCTTTGTGGACGACGGTCTTTGATCGTCCGAGCGCAGGAAGTACTAGGACATTTGACCAAAGCCACTCATCAAAGTGCGACTATCCATTTTTATTACTGGGTTGTAGGCGTGCTGGCTGAAATAGAGCGTTTCGTCAAACGCAAAAGACTTTTGTGAATAACTCCCTTCAAGCAAGTTCCAGCAGGTGACAAGCATCGCATGTATCTTCGGCTAGCTGCCGGCAAAGGTCCAGCTGCGCGTGACGCAAGTTTAGACCGAAGTGCTTGCAAGCCAGTTCTTTGCAGGATGGGTGTTCGACCTCGGTGTGGCGGGTGAGTGGCCGCTTAGATGCATTTCGGCGAGTGTCTGCAGTGGCTCAGTGCAGTGAAACCAAGGTATGGCAAACCCATTGCCCAACCTGTCTACGAGGATGAGCCTGGCGATGGTTCAGATCCGTTTAGCGACATGGGCTGCTTGCCTTCGACCAGTTGCTGTTACTCAAAACGCATGGTGGAAAAAACTCATGTCTCAGTTGAGGCGACGCTGTTCGTGAAATGTTCAGATGATTGGGCGCAAGAAAAATTGTCGTCCACAACATGGTACTGTGTTTGTCAAAATGCTTGCCGCAAAAGCTGGTGAGTGATCAGGGGATCAGAGCGTGCTTCACCTTGTTTTTGGCCTGATGCTGAGGATGCATTATGTGGGATATGCCGAGATGGCGGCTGCCGTGTCCAATGCTGGTGGCCTCGGGACTCTCGAACGGCATCAAGAGGTGGATGCATTCTATCAAGGATGGTTCCCAGCAGCACCATCTCAGGATCATCACGGCATTGACGGTGGCCCAGCCGCCCAAGGGAAAGGAAGCTTTGAGAGAAGAGATCAGGACATTCCAGCTAGAGGTTCGCGAGCTAACCCAGCGAGCCGAAACTGCACGGCTCTTTCAGGAAGTGCCGACAACTAACCGACAAGCTGCCAACTCAAAAACCGTGCCTATCGGCATCTCATTGGCCAAGCATGGCCCAGCCTTAGCGAGGCCGTTCGGCGTAAACATCACGCCTTGAGCTAAGAGAGCTAAGAGCCGCCCGAAATTGAGCACAGACCGATCTGGCCTTTGACCAAGGCTGTTACCAGTAGGTGTTCCCCCAGACTTCGATGGCATCGTGCAGGCTTCTGCCTTGGTAAGGACATATTGTTCTAGGAAACTCTGTGATGAAGCATGGGATCAAACAGAAGCGGTGTCCATTCGTGCCACGCCATCTTTCCCAGGTGATGATAGAGGAGAAGGTCAAAGTGGTGGAAACTGCTGGCCGCAACCCCGAGAAGGTGATCAAGCAGTGCAAGGCTGGACCCAACAACACAGCACTTGCAAATAACTGTGTGATCCGTGCAGGACGCTGGCATGTTCGTGATCCACAAGTGCGTAGCAGTGAGGCACGCACTGACGGCACAGAAGATGGGCAAAGACCTCAGATTGCGAGAAGAGGACGATATACCTTGGCATCTCTGGAGACAAGAGGCGCAGACATGATTTCCATGGACGGCTTTGATTGTGGTGGACATCCAGGCGGCCGTCTCCGGCACTGACAGGAAGACTTGCTGAGCTCAGAGTCATACTCTTTAATCAGCATTGGTGACAGGTCATACTGTGCGCGATGTTGAAAACCAGAGTAAACCAAGATAAAGTTTGGGTGGTGATATGTAAAAAAATGGTGCCTCGAAAGAGGGCTTGGGCTGCTTCGCTGAGAAACAGGCGAAGAAGACGTGGGAAATTGGGTGCTTTTGGCACAGGCTGCTCAGGACCGCAACTAGCAGATGCATCCCGGCGCGTAGCCGCACGTGTTGTGCAGGAGCTGACCATTCCTTTCGTTGCAAGTGGAGGCCACAAGTCGAGACTTCAGTTGTTGACTATCCTTGCCTTGCGCTCTGCACAAGGAACCTCTCAAGTTAAGGACTGGGGGTGCCTAGTTCAAGTTGGGCTTAGGGCATTTTGCCAGAGAGTTGATGCCCGACGACCGTTCCTGAGGGTGAAAAAGGTCGTGATCGCCTGAAATCAGGCTTTTAGCCGTGCGGGGCATCGGAAATGCAGTCGGCTACATACAGGCACTGAACCTTTGCAAGGGATGACTGGCAACGGAAAGCTGGCGGAACCTGCGCACGCATAGATTCAACAAATTCTGTGAAAAGCTGAAAGAATTTACAGGGATGGCAATCTCACAAACACAAAAGAAAACCAGGCACTGCAAGCACCATAGCTGCCAGCAGCTTGCGTGACACGACGAGTGTCAGAACCTACTTGTTTTGTTCCTTTTTCTGCCTGCAAGTAACCAATTTTGCTGCAGTTGAGTCCAGTCCTAGGCCCCACATCAGAAGGAACAAGCCACAAACTCACAGCTCGTCCTGCAATGCTCTACCAGTCCTTTGGTATGGGGGTGACAATTACAATGATCAAACCAGATAAGCACCCCATGGACAACCAGCTCGTCCTTTCGTGCCAGGTACAGCGACTGGGACGCAGCTGGCAGCTGCACTGGCCATGGGCGCACAGCTTACATCCACCAAACAGCGTATGTGCACAGAGCTGATTTTTGAGGCGCCGAGGGGATTAACATGGGCACGCGCTTTATGGCGACAAAGGAGGCCTGCAGCAATTGAGCACCTATGACAGGGAAGGCCAGCGCTTGATGACAACAAAGACCTTGCAATCTACTTGCGTCAAGAGACTTCGAGCTTCGAGTCCACAATGTTTGGATTATGTTGAGGCGCCGATTGTGCAGCCTATGAAGGATGTAATGGTGAAGGCAAAAGTGACGGACCGCTCTGAAGCATCTCACGCTAGCACGCGGTGCAGCCGCATGTGTTGCAGAAGCTTTCTGCAGGACACCACCCATGTGTTTCGCAGCTTGAAGAACACTGAACGTGTCTACAAGAACAAGACTGCAATGGAGGCTCGCATGGCTGCAGAGAGCCTGGCTTGAGATGTCGACTAGCTTGCGCATGTCTTTGAAAGCAAGTTTGGCTCGCAAAGGCAAGACCGTAGCAGCACTTGCCTGAAGCAAATCATGGAATTCATGTTTTGCCTCAAGCCACGGCTGCGACATCGTGTGGATACCGTCCCAATAGAGGTGTGATGGAAGACCCAAGGTTGCAATGAGCTATGCCAGTGTAGCTGCCATTGACGCTTTCCAGATGTTTGTTGGATTGCTAAGGCAGACATCGAACCTCAGAATGAGTTGAACTTTGTGCCGATCCTGAATGTAGCTGGTCGAGTTTCGTACATGTCAATGTGTTTGCTTACTGCAATGTGATAGGAAGACGTCGTTACATGGCCTTTACGTCCACTGGCTTGGCCTTGCCTAAGAAGGCAGAGCACTGCTGCTCACAGGCTTCAATCAATAAATGAATCATCCTCTTGAGCAGGTGCTCGAAAGGCCCCAACTCTCCCAACATTGCTTCTACTCTTGCTGACAAGTTTCAAGTCTGGCAGTAGGAGCGGCTTAACTAGGATGTGGAGAATGTCGCATGACAACTGCATCCACGCCTAGGCCTGTCCAGAATTGCTGGCCTTGCTTCGCATGGCTGGCCTCACTTCTGCTGGTGCTCTTGCTGCCACCTGCAGGGACGCACGACCAGTGCGGAATGCACTCCCCGAGGCAATGCCTTGTGAAGACATTCAGAGAACAAGAGCTGATGTCCTCAAAGGTGGCGCGCGCTGTGCCGACAGGCCACTGATAAACCGTGACTTTACTCGTCTTGCTGCCAACAGATCATTATGCAGCCCTGCCATCCGCAGAACATCAATGTATAAAGGTACACTGGCTTGGCCTCTCTGAGCATAAAGCCTGTAGACTCCGCAGACGCTAGGTGTACTTCTAGCACGAGCCGATTGTGCACAACTGCTTCAGTGTCCAGACCTGTCGGTGGGCACGTGGCACGAGCTTCTACTGCCGCAGGCTGCATAGCGGCACCACCTCTTTCCGCAGCAAATTAGCTTGCGACAGCAGGACGACAGACAAATCTTCCTGAACGTTGCACGATGCGACATGCTTGTCACAAGATCATCTATCCTTTGTTGTCAGGGCATGCCAACTTACCTGAGCTGTGCGGCAGCTTTCTATCGAGACCATCTCTACGTTGCCGGTATGCTGGTGGCAGCTAGCATGCATGCATGCTCGCCTAGGCTGAGGTGAGAATGCATGCTTCTGTCTTGGCTGCTACCTAGGTGGCGGTGCCCCATACTTGGATGGAAAAGTTGCCCAAGCAGCAAGTTATGATTTGAAGGGAGGCCTTTGGTCCGAATTATCACCTATGCCAATGGCAAGGAGAACCTGTTTGCAGTTAGCAGTCCTTCGTGTGGATTCGCCGCCGCTGCGAGTTGGATGAAGCAGGAGCCACTGTGCAGCTGTGGGCGCTTTCGGGAAGCTGCTTGTATTCTGCCTGCATGAAGTGGGAGATCGTCGTCAACACAATGCTGCTTTTTAGTGATGCTCCAGATCAGGTCATCGGCGGCCATGCAGATGATCATCAGCTGCTGGACACAGTGCAGGCCCTCGATCTTGAAGAAGGCAGCAAGTGCAAAGTGCCGCTTGCGCGGAAGCACTTGGCAACCAGGGTTGTTTCCTCAAGGTGAGTGGGAGCACTGGCCGTCGCTACCCACTTGTCTCAGCGATTTGGCATCAATTCAGCCCATGCTTGTTGCTGTATGTTTGCAGACGATATCTCAAGCTTCTTTGAGGCTGGTGTGCTGCTGCTTTTGCCTGTAGACTACGTGCCATCGTGGCTGCGGGCTGCGACAGTGCACGAACGCAAATCTTCCGATACAACTCGGGCAGCGGGACGTGGGACAGACTTCCTCGGATGCCCCGAGAGCGATTTCGTCCTGCAGTTGTGGAGATGTCTAACTACCTCTTCGTGATTGGTGGTATGGTCCTTCCTGAGGAGGACGTCGGCACGGTGGACATATTTGACATGCAGATCTGTCAATGGGTGTCAAGCCTACGCGGCCTCCAGATACCGGATATGCCAGAACCGCGCACTGATCCTGTTGCATGCGCCAGCTCTGGCCGTGTCTACGTGCTTGGAGGGATGCAAGCTGGTCCTATCGAGATCGTTGAATGCCTTGACTTATGGTCTAACACGTGGTGCAAGCTGCCGGACATGAAGGAAGGTTTTGCTGCTGCAGGCACAGCCATAACGTGCGTTTGAGGGACACCTTCCCTGATCTTATGAGCGCGGTAGCAACAAGTGGCCTGGAGCTCAATCCCGACAAATAAATGAGAGAAAAAATTGTTCGTCCACCTTCGGCTATGAGGGGAGTTGAGCTTGCCACTTTGCTCTTGGCTTTTTCGGGCGCAGCTGAGTTGAGGTGCGGCAGATTGAAGCCGAGAAGCCCGGGGACTGTGAGGGTTCGTTGTGGCTGCCACCTCTGAAGTCTCAAAACTGGATGCATTGCAGGACTTCTTCGCGATCGCTAATCTAGTTAAAGGTGCGCAGCTCGGAGACACCTAGCAAACGCATCTTTGCCATCAGCTGAGGCGAGAACTATCGCAAGTCTTTCCAGGCGAAACCTGCAGGAGTTGAAACGCAATGTGTGGGACTTGACCTGATTTGAAGGAGACCGGAGACGCAGAGAGTTCTGTATGGTCCCGCACTTGTCTTCGAAGCTTCGACAATTTCACCCTATGATTATGTGCTAGGATGTGCCAAGACTCCCTGCGCGTGCCCTCATTGTAGTACATGAGCTGGGGTGGCACTATGTGTCTGAAATAGGCAAGGTTTCTGCTTGCATTTGACTGGGTTTGGGTTGAAAGGAACAAGGCAGGCAACACATAAGATGCATTGACTGTTCATGCAGAGGTTGTAACGCTACACCTTGGTCAACAGGAAGATACGTGCTGTCTTTTACTAGAGTTAGTAAAAGGCTCATGAACAACTGCTTATCCCATGTCACATACATAAAGTCAAATCATCAATGCTCACGAAAGTGCAGTTTAAAGCCGCCACATAAGTGTACAGTGGACACGACAAGAATCTTCGCATTTCGCAGCAGCTGCAAATTCACCACAAGACTTCTGAACAACAAAGTCGTCGTAGGCGCTAAAGTTCAGAAAGCGAGCAACACAGAAATGATTGGGGCGGGCACTGACAGGTTGGTTGACAACAAGAGATGCGGGCCTGTAGTTGAAGCTCGCTAACAGCAGACGAGGTCTGGTCTGTTCAGGTTATGTCCCTGTTCGAGGAAAATGTTCTTGAGATAGCATAGTTCCCCCGATGTTGGCCTGAGAACTCGGATTTCCGCCTGTTTCGTTTTCCTTCGAGAAGGGCACGAGGCAAGGCGCACTGAGAATGACCATGGAAAAACTTTTGTCCGTGCCCGCAGTAATAATACCTGAACGCCCCCGCGCAACTCCCCCCATGTCATCACAGCAACCGTGCCAGTGCTTGTAACAATAACAGAGCCATTCGCAGTGAAACAAGTTAGCTATTGTGTCAATGGTAGCCATACTACCAGTGGCAGCACTAGTCGCAGCAGCACAAGAAGAGTGTTGAGTGATAGCGGATAGCGTTAGCATCAGGAATCGTACAAATAGCAACCATAATAGCAGAATGGCATTCGCGCTCCCAAAAACAGCGCAGTAATAACGACCAAACTCCCAGAGAGAAATGATGATGCGCACACACCCTCCCCATGGCGAGCAACAGGAATGCAAAATAAACCAGCAAGTATAGACAGAAACCCCGTCTAAGAATGCACTTTGCTTGTAGACTGTAGACTATTGAAGCAGGAACATCAGCGGCAGCCAAGGAGCGCACAACAAAAGAAGAAGAAGAAGAACAAGTATGAAGCTATGCATCGAGTGCTCTCAGCCTATGAGCTTCATACTTAAACAGCAACGGTTCAGCAAATGGGCTAGCCTGAAAGGATTTCTCACCAGTGGCAAATATCTAAAGATATTTAGTGTATCCGGAAGCAACTAACAAAATTTCAACGTAATATACACCATAAAAACACATCTGACCGTACAACGTCACAATATGCCAATGTCATTTGCGGTCAGTACAATCCAAACACTGCAGTTTCGTTTTTTTTGTTTTTCTTTCTTTTTTTTCGTGGGCCTCACCACGCAATGATGCAGGCTTTTGTTCACAAGACATCCAACATCAGCAGTGTATACGAGAGAGGCCTTCGCAGCAGATGATGCCGCGTTGTCCTGCAGCTGTACTGTCGTTGTCTCGCAATGGCAATAGCACACACGCACCAGCTAGGTATAGTGACTATTATGAGTAAGTAGCTACAGCGCTTTCCCTGCCAGCAGTCCTCTGATAGCATTGGTCATTATGCACCCGTGCCCACTAGCTGCAGGGTCCCCCATCGCATTGCGAACCGTCTCACGGCCCCTTATCGAACCTTCATCATTGAAGGCCGCAGAAGGCTGTGACATCTTTGAAGGTTAGAAAGGGTAGACCGTTGTCATTGATGGAACCAGGTCCTGCCATAAGGACTTGCAAAAGTAACAGCCTTAGTAGGAACAGGAAGTGAAACAAACCTCTCAATTCCGCCGCCGCGACGTCCAACCCCCGCACTCGCGTGCATGAATCATCACACAGCATCACACAGCGCACGTGAGACTCTATTTCAACAGGGGCATGCATGGAAAGGGTCGGATGCTACAGCTGAAAACCCCTTTAAGACAACTCATCAGTACTCCGGGGCGAAGTTCTGTACAAACCCCTTGCAAAAGCTTTACAAAATCATACGAATTTCATCCATGCGGCCTCTGAAGCCTCGCGCGGCATGCGTGAGCAAGCAAATCGTTGAGGGGCCGATGCTGGGCCCCTTGGCCAGCTTCCTCCGCATTATTAAAAGTCGCTTCTTCCATGTTTGGGCCCTCCAGCACCCCCCTAAGACTCTTTCATTTTACGCTTATGGCCAAAACGTACTTCGGAGCCGCAGGTCGTGTGCAAAAAGCCTGGGGACCCCAAAGAGCCTTCAAAACTGCATCCTCGTGGTGGGAAGAAGCTTCAAAAGTGCATGACAACTTGAGGCCACAGTCACGGTAGTGATCAGAATAACCGGTTTCAGAAGCAGAGGTGCAACGGCGGCAGGGCCGGACTCATGAGCCTCCGCTCATGCCGTCGACCTCAAAAGGAGCATGTCAAGAATGCACCTGACTAAGTGGAGTGAAGAGAGTTTTGACCAGTACCGAGCACCAGCCGAGCGCCTGCACCCCCCACGATGGCCATCTCGCCAGAAATGGTAATTTATCAGGCTTTGTTTTGACCGGCTGTCAGAAATTCAGTGCACAAAATAAGAATTAATTGTTCCAGTTTAAAAGCGGGCAGCTTAATCGTTGGAACGTGTGAAACCCCGCTCAGACATCAATACAAGACAGGATCAGGACAGCAAGTGCTGCAGTAGCGAAGGTCGGAACAGCTAGTGCAGGAGTTGCAAGTCATTTCTCATAATGAGTGATATGCACTACTCGATGCAGGCTTGAATGACATGAAGGAGATGATAGTGCTGAGGCGTGCGTCCATCTGTAGTAGCGGCACAATAGAATGGCAGTTTGCGTTGAAAGGAATGCTGAGCCAATTGGTAGCGAGACCAGATAAAAGCAGAATTTGCCAGGCCTACGAACGTTAAGCGAGTCTTACACTGTTTAATGATTCCTCAGGCTCCGTCTAGCGTCAACACCTATGCATCATTTCATGGTAAGCTGAACGTGTACACTGTAGCAGCTTCAGGTTCACTTCGCTTTTTCATGACGGGCCTAGTAAAGGAGCCATTTAATCTCCAACTGTCAGAGGACAAACCGGTATTCAAAGTATGGAAACGGCATTAGTAGAACTTCCCAGGAAGCGCTGATGAACGTTCCTTGTCATAAAGCTCATAAAATACATAAAGTACGCCCATCGGTACCCTCATCAGATTCAATTCTAGTAAGGGTAAGCGATTGATAAACAACTTAAAAGACATGTAAGAGGATGAAACTGCAACCGATTCAAGATGTATTCCTCGGGAGAAGATTGCAAGCGGCATGTTACCAAACCAACTCCACACACAACAACTGCGATCAGGAAACGAACCGCGGAGATTGGTGGAGGTGTTCCACTTGATCAAAAACAATGAATCATTCATCAATGGCCAGCCAGTTTCAGAGTTCAACCTCAACACATTCACAGTTGGTAGATGAGGCATTGGGGACTGTACATTATTGCATCTGAGTTGTGCAGTTGTTGTGAAAATCAGAAGGGAAAGGAAGAACACTGAGAAGGTACCCAAGCAATTGACATGTGCATTATAGGCCCCGCTTCTTGCAGGTCTACAGTTTGGTACATGGGTGTACCATCATTATGTCAAAAATGAAATATCTGTCTTGTCTCTTCCTTTGTCTTCAGAGTTTCCAGGGTGATACATTGCACTTTTGGCAACTGTTCTTATTGCTATTCATGTTTAGATTTGTGTTTACAAGGGACACTCATTAATTCTTAGTTCCCATTTGCAAGCTGTGCTCTTATTCCGCCAGATGGTTCTGAGTCCCTGCTGCCGGGTGTTTGGCTCGCTTGTCGTTTGTGCTTGCAGGCCTGCAGGCCTCACAGTATTACAATGTGGTTGCAAAACCTCAACAGCTTCTTTCCCTTTATGCTGCTTGTGTAGACATTCTCAAGCCTGAGTTCTCAACGAAGGTCGTCTCAAGCTAATCCCGGTGATGATACTCACTTGCTTTTTGCTGAACAGTTGCCTCTCGTCAAGAAGCCATGCAATGGGCCATAAGATCTTGCAGACCGTTGGTCATCCGAATGAAGTGCTGTAATGTAATCAGGTCCCATCCTTCATGGCGATTTTTCCTTGCCTCTGACTGATGAATGTCTGAAATGCTGTCCACGTGCTATCCACATGTATGATCGCCCTGAAATGTATAAGTTTTCATAGACCGTGGTGGACATTTTAAGTTGGGGTTTGCATCAGTACACATTGCCTGCTGCCGACTTGCTGCTAAGTTGCGAGGAAAAACTGATCAGGCAGCTGTACTCAAGGAACATTTCCACGCATTGACTTGCATCAGATTGCAAACCTCCTCCAGCTTGTGCAAGTACTTCTTTTGCGAGTTTGCTGAATGCATTGCGTGCATGGTTAGCAACTCATACGGGAGGTCTGTGGACATCAGCTGTCTCAAGAGTCGGTTTCATGTTTCTTTGAATCACTTCTGCATGTCCTGTTTTGCCGTTCCTTCGTATGTGCCTCCTCGTTACTTACATGGTCATGTATGTTTGGACGGCTGCCTCTGTATTCTGAACACTTCATTACAGGATTCATGTTGGCAGCTCGCACAAATGTTTGCAGGTCGAGGGATCATTAAGATAACCAAAAAATGCCCCTGGCAATGGCCAGAGGTCCTGTGGACAGTCCATTGGCCTCATCAAGGACATCCCTACATGCCAGGACAGCACTGGCTTAAAAATCTGGCAGACAGCAACCTGTGCTCAGAAGGAGCTGCTAGACAGAATGGTCTTCTGCTGAGCCGTTGTTGGGAGACTTTTGGAGCACGGTACTTTGCTTGGAAATTCATCTTCAGGTGGGCGAAGCAGAAGACATCATCAGAAACAAGCTCCAGTCAAAGCTCTGAGAGTGGGGTGCCCGCAGCTGCAAGGGTGTTTTGGCTGTTCAAGCATCCAAGTTGACACCGCGTCTCAGTGTGCGTGCAGCAACCAGCATCCATAACTCAGCAGCCATAATGATAAGCATTTGAAAAACCTTTGGGCCGAGTGGGTTCACCCGGCATCACCGCCAACGGTGCACGCGGGTGGCTCTTCGCGGTACAAGAGTCTTAGTGTTAGCAGCAGGCTGGCGCAACCGCTTGGGTTGCCCCCTGCAAGTGTAATTGTACATCGGTTGAGAGGGAAGTTTCTTTTGTGAACCCTTGTTCTGACCGATTGCAAGTGTGCACTCAAGACCTCCCTCTCCGCGTGCTGTCGCGTTTCGCCCTGCCTAGCTGCGGGACGTTCTACCCCGACCTCGCAGAGCAAAATTGGAAGCAAGTTGCACACGTAAAGTTTGGCACGCTTGGATTTTAGTCATATCGCCGACAGCGGGCAGCCCCACTCCTTGGCTACAGCTAAACTGAAAACTGGAATATTTCCTCATATAGTTCCCTGGATACCAAGTGGATATCGTGAAGTGGAAGTTAACACCATCACGCGTTCAGAATGTTACTAGTTGAACCAGCTGGACAAAAGCAAGCAGGGACGTTGAGCTTCAGCCATGGCAGCATGCGCCCACGCCCAGCCTCTGCTGAACCAGCGCGTCACCATACTCAGCATTGCCAAGCTTTATGCCTCGACCATGGACCGGTTAGTCAGCTGGGTTGATGCAACGAGCCAGGTCAGCCGAGTGCCAAGTCATCAGCAGGAAGCTGCCTAAGCATTGTCAGCTTGGAGCATTGGTTTTTATGGGTTGATTTTCGCTTTTGGGGCCTTTGCTTTTTGATTCTTGGCTCTGGGCTTCAAAGGCTGTTCCTGCTATTAAGCTATTACTTCTCACACTGCTACCACTGCAGTGACAACAATGACGATGACATAAACTTTGCATTGACAATACCCTTCTACCGCCACTGCTACCACATAATTGTCCGTTCTTGCCATTGCTACTGTTGTTGCTCTTAATGTTTTCGTGACTGCGATGAAAACTCATCGCGGTCATGGCCTTCTGACATGTTGGAGTGTTGCTGTGTTCACTTAGATATTGTTGCTTCGTACTTATAGTATCACTACGACAACATGTTTTGATGCATGTTTTACCGGGAGCTTTTTGCAATTTTTCATTCTCGATAGCGCGTTGCACTGTCCACTTCCCCGAGATTTGATGTTTACAGATTAAAGCGTGTTGCTGTAGTTCTTGCGATTGCTACTTCAGTTCTGCATTATTCTGATTCCGACAGCTGTCTCATGATTTCGTGAATGCCAGGCACATTGCTAACAATAGCACCACTGCCGCCGCCGCCGCCGCCGCCGCCGCCGCCCCCGCCACCGCCACCGCCACTGCCACCGCCCCCCCCCGCCGCCGCCGCCGCCACCACCACCACTCCTGCTAGCATCCGCCATTTCTTAAATCTGCTGTTTTTCATGCCACCGCCAAATAGTTCGCCGAGCTGAACGCCCTGGGGCGACATCAACTCTTGTCTTGTTTGCGAAACACTTCTAAAGAATGCCTCTGGCCTGCATGTAACTAGGGGGGCGCCTCCTTCTACTAGTACCACCACTACTACTACTACTACTACTACTAGTACTAGTACTACTACTACTACTACTACTACTCCTCCTCTTACCACTACCGTACCATCACTCCTCCGCCGCAGTCTATGCCATGTTGATGATGATGATGATGATGACTAGTTTCAGCAGTAGCAGTGGTAGCAAAAGTAGCAATAGTAGCAGTAGTAGTAGTCGTCGTCATCCTCGTCATCGGCGTCGTCGTCATAGTCGGCGTCGCCGCCGCAAAGTCAGCCGTCCTCGTCGTCCGACTTGATTCGACCGTCTCTGATCTTTCGATTCGATTCCTCAGCGACTCAAAGCTGCCCAACTCCATTGCCTCATCTCACAGAAGCAGAATGGCAAGAGAAGCGCTGCAAATATCACCAACACTAATCGCAATATCAGCACTTCCACTACCTTTACTTTACGACTCCCTATTATGGTACTTTGCTTTCTTCTTTCGGCATCCTGAATTGAGTCCGCTGCTTTTCCTCATCTCAAGTGCAACGAAACAGAATTGTCGAATCCCTTTAGCATTGAAGTGGACCCGAAGGCCGCTCAAGCACGCTTTGTGGGCATGCGGTCAAAGAACACAGAAATTACATCAGCTGAAGTTGCAAGTTCACCAAGTTGGGCTGTCGCAAGCCGAAATGGTCCCGAAAACTTGGTTCAAGTCCTTTAACTGAAGCCCGTTACATGTTCTACTACTCATTAATCCTCCTCCTGCTCCTACTCCTACTCTGTGGGAAACCCGGAGCTGCGACGGGCTTTACTTAATTGAGCCGATCGCCAATCCCTTCCGCAGCGGTGCTTATGAAAGGTTGCAATTGTAGTTGTAGCAGAGGCAGCTGTGGTAATGCCTGGTATTGATAGTTGTAGCAAAGGCAGCAGTGGTAGTGCAAAGTATTGATAGTTGTAGCAGAAGCAGCTGTTGTAGAGGTAGTTGTAACTGTAGCAGAAGCAGCAGTGGTAGTGGTGATGGTTGTGGTAATTAGTTGTGGAAGCAGCAGTGGTAGTGATAGTTGTAGCAGAAGCAGCAGTGGTAGTCGTAGTGGTAATGTTAGTTGTAGCTGTAGCGGAAGCTGCAGTGGCAGTAGCGGTGGCAGCAGCGGTGTCGGTGGCAGCATCGGTGACGGTGGTCGTGGTAGCAATAGTGGTAATGCTAGAGGTAGTAGTAGTAGTATTAATAATAGTAGTAGTAATAGTAGTAGTAGTAGTAGTAGTAGTACGCGCGACGCGCATATTTGACGACCCGTCCGTTTGAGGGCGGTCAATAAGGAGGAGCTTGAAAGTGCTGGCAGCGCCAGCACTTCTGC